ATCCCTGTCCGCTCGGAGAAGCTCCCCCTCCTCGGCCAGCTTCCCCGACCTTTCTTTCTCCAGGATCAACATCTCCCTCTGAGCATCCAGCATCAATGTCTGCTCGCGGAACATCTCCTCGGAGCGTTCCAGGGCAGTCTTCAACTTCCGCGAGCTCGAGGTAAGAGCCGCTTTCTCCTGCTCGAGTTCCTCAATACGGATAGGATCCCCCCTTCCTCGGACAACACCAGGGCCATCTCGGCCATTTTCACCAGCCCGTCCATGCTGGCGGCCATATGCCTCTTCCGATCCTCCTTGCTCATCCTTTTGATAGTCTCAACCTCGTCGGCTACCACTGACAGAGGGAATCTCTCGAAGAAACCCTCCTCTTTGAAACAAGGGGGAAACCCGAAAGACCTGACAGCACTGGCGTCCTTGCTGACAGTCGGACCACTTTCCACCCGGGTCCTCTTCCTTTGTATCAGGACGACATTGGGATCGACCTCTTCAACCTCTGGGGTCCCGTCCGACGCGGCCCTTGAGCTGGGCGACGAATCCACCCTCACCGGCTGGGGAGCACTCGGACTGTGTGGCGGGCCCATCCTCGTCGCCTGGGGAGCCTTCACGACCCTCCTGCCTCGCTTCTGGTCGCAAGACAGCTTCAAAAGCCTTTCCCGTCGACCGGCCATCGAACCTGCGCAAAATAAAAGACGGGTTAGTATCGAGCAAATTCATAAATAAATGACGAGCAAAGAAATTCATGCAATAAACAACCTAGCAGACGAGCAGCCTGCCTGTACGTCTGACACTCCACGAGTGCCTTAGTATCAATCGGCCGGGACTCAAATATCGGATAACCCTCTGCATCCAAGACATCGTCCCCTTCCCTCGTGGCCCACCGGGAAGGGTGGAAGCTGTCGACGAACCGATAAAGTGTGGCGTACGCCTCCTCATCCTCCGAGCACATGTCCCCGGAAGCAGTATGGTAGTATCCAATCCCGTGCTCGTAGTGCCTGAACATCCAGTGCACAGGGAACTTGGCCGTACGGGCCATCACGGGATTCCCATCGTCGCCCAAAACTGCCTCCCCGTCATCATCGCTTAGGGGCGCCTCCTCCTCGTACAGGGATCCTAAAGCAGAGGTGGTAACTGGCCGCACAACATACCACTTGTCTTTAAAACCCCTTACGGAGTCCATATACATTTTGAAGAGTCTCCTCGACTGCTTTAAGGAGACCCAGCTGTGTTTCCCTCCTCGGGACTGGCGCTGCAGATGAAAAATCCTGAAGAAGAGTGGTATGGTCGCCCCGATCCTCAAAAAGCGACACATCAGCTCAAACGCCCGGATAAAGGCGAGTGAGTTCGGATGCAGCTGAGACGGGGCCAGCTCCAGATGAGTGAAGACCCCGACCTGAAAATCACTGAAGGGAAGCTGCAGCCCAAGATCTTTGAACGCGATCTCGTACATCGCGAAGCTATACTCTGGATATACCGAGCAGATCCGTGAACGGGAGGACGGGCGCATGACAACGAAATTCTTTTGGAAGTCAGGCTGGCCCTGACCCGCTTCGAGGACAGCATATGGATTTCGGTCGCCTCGGCTGTATATCGACGCGATCCCTCGGGGCTCGGCACCCACCCAATCCAGTAAAGGGTCGTCGACAGTATCTATCAAGCTGACCGACTCATCGGCACTTTGTTCTTCATGTTCGTGGCGCCCAGAGGAGCATGGCTCGTCCGCCATGGTTACCTGCAGAGCACGGGAAACCAGTCAATTGGGCACGAAGCCATACGCTCGACAAACCACGTCGTCCCATGCACGACCACAAAAGTCAGTTTACACGAGTAGTCGCCTCCCCGACATCCTGAAAACTCGATGTGTTCTTCTCCAAACCGACTACGCGGCCACTCTCCAACATGTCGACCCAAGGTATGAACATGGCGAGCAACATCATGAGACCTACGGTTAGGACCATGAACATATCGGGCGCGATCATGAATCGGGCGCCCTGGATCATGAAGACCCCGGGCAGCGCTGAAGTTTATCACCTAAAACTATGAATATACCGGCCACAAGCATGCGTTTGCCGATCCTAAGCATGAATATGTCGAGCTAAGTATGAGTTTACCGGGCTAGTCCTACACGCACAGTCCCTAAAACATCTACAAACGCTGAAAATTATGCATTACAACAGGAAAATGAAGAAGATAAACCACTTACTTGAATCAAAAAGTAGGATTCGGCTACGGAGTAAAAGAATCTGTAACGGAAGATCGCGTCTGGGGAAAATCTGGAAGAACAGCAGCAGAGGGAGCACAAAGAGTAGAAACGTGTTATGGGGCCCAAGGTTCCTATTTATAGGGATGACGTGGAATACCAAACGTCACCTCGGGCAACCACAGAGCTTCTCTCCCCGACGCGCTGCTCCCAACGCAATGATGACCCTATCACCATAGGGTGGCGGCACAGTTCCCAAAAGATACCTCGTATGCTCGACAGACACGCGCCGGTGAGAATCCTCCGGGCATCCACCGCGGAAGATGTCCCCGAGCACGGCACAGAGAGGCCCTCGAGGATCTGCATCTCTGTCCCGGGCGCGAGACCCCGATGTGGAAACGACCTGAGTTCAAGTCATGGCTCCTCGCAAAGGAACCACGACTTGGGGGGCTCCTGTTCTGGACTGGGCCCGACAGGCCCAAAAGCATTGCTAAGGCCTAGTCCAAATGGACTTACTGAGGACCACGCCGACCAAAGGGTCACAGTCGTGCCCGACGTGCTCTCATATGCTCGACAGCTACACCTCTAGCTCGACATACTGCTGTCCAGCTCCACATCCTGCTGTCCAGCTCCTCATCCTGCCGACCAGCTCGACATTACCTCGAGCACCCCAACTAGGGCAGACTCAGTCCACTGCTCTCCCAACGAGACCCCTGAAAGACCGCGTCTCTGTCCGCCCGCACTTTACGCAGAGCATCCAGGAAGGGGACCACATGCGGGTCCCCACTACGTACGTAGAACCTGGCAGTTCCTCCATTGGGCCAAACCTGCCCGACCCAATGAAGGGACCTTGGCCCAGCGCTGGGGGCTATAAATACCCTCTGTTTCCAGAGGGTCAGGTATTCATCATTCTAACCATACACTTGCTATTACCTGCTCGTGCTTCTACTTACTTCAGCATCAGAGTGTCTTGCAGGTACCCCCCCCCCCCCACCTCGTTCAAAAAGCTTTCTGCTCGGAGCCAGCCGTGACGGTCCATTTCTGATCAGGTCAGATCAATCATCACTAAGATCAACGCTAGGGAGTCAAGCGAAAATCAAAATCCATGACCTACAATATGAAGCCTCGATTATTTAACGACACTCAAGTGTCATAAGCGCATCATTTCCTTACCATATGTTTATGAGGGTAAATGATGACATTTTCCGAAGCAATGTTTCAGTGACATGATGATCATTAAATGCACATGTTCCCAATGTTAACCACTCACACTTGATAACACAAGAAAGTCTACTTTTATCTTCTTGGGGCCATCCTTCCAATGGGAACATCTCTTCGATATAACTCATGCTTGGACGATTCTCTTAAATTCTAACATTAACATTGCTCACTACATTACTAATAGCAAGAACTTGGGAGACAATTGTTTCAGGTTGGTCGAAGACCCAATAAGACTGATCCAATCCAACCAATGCACCCATTAGATGACAACCGTGTGTACCTCCACTCTTAGACGTCACACAAGAGTATAAATCCATTCCACATTTCCACCGTTGATTTGCGTCAAACAATCACCCACAATCCACGTTGGACCGACCATGACGGTTTTAACTGTCTCCCATATATAAGTGTGACATCGAGTCATATCCAAATATTACGCTCGTCCACACTTGCATACTTCCACCTCTCTCAACATAGATTTGAGCGTTGGAGTATTAACTTTGTAAATATTTCTATCTCTAATCACTGAAGACTTCTACCATCCTACCGAAAAACCTTCCACATTAATTATTGTTAATCTACTATTCAAGAAGTGTATTTAAAAGGTAAATATATAATTAAAATAATTTATTCATAAGAGAGAGAATAATTAATTAGAGAAAGATAGAGATATATCTATTAAAAGTACATAAGTTGAAATGTAGCAAACTTTATTCCCAAATAAGCATTTTATAAAATTCTCAAGCTATTTTACGGATATTTCAATATCATTTTCTCATATTCAAATTTTTCAACACTATTCTATGAATTTTGTTAAAGAATTTGAATATGAGAAAATAATATTGAAATAATGAAGAATGAAGTAAAAATGATTGAATAATTTGAATCCATAGAATTTGAAGGTTTATTTTATTTTTTATTTTATAACAAAATATTTCATTAAATTAAGTATTAAAAAATTGTATTGGAAGAGAATTGGATAATTTAAATAAATTTCCAAATTTAATTTATATTATTCTAATATTTTAAATGTTAAAAATATATTAGTACTATGTATCTATTTATTAACTTATAAAAAACAATTAATTAAAAAAAGCAAAATATTTATTTATTTTTCCCTTATTCTTTCATTTTCCTTAAAACTCATAAACACAACTAAAAAAGATATCAAATCCAACAAGAAATACATCATTGTATTCATCTTTGATTTTAATGAAATACATTGAATTTAAAAAAATAAGTATATATTTTTTTTAAATTGCTTTAAAGGTTCTAATTTTGGTTATGTGATTAAAATATATGATTAAGTGAATTTGTAGTAGTAATATTGAGTGAATCCAACAAGATACAAAGAGTTATCCATCTCCAGATTCCTAACTCACCAACTTCCCAAACCCACATTTAAAATGAGTGGGTAGGTAGTGACACTTGACAACTTAAAACACTACCATTTCACAATTCACCTCTGCCACCAACCAATTCAACTTTTGTCAACTCAACAGCAGCTACCACCAAACCTGAAGGAAAGAGTATTTCATTGTTCTTCAATTCATCTTTCTCTTTTCCATTCCCGATTCCCATCATGGCTTCTTCTCTCTCCACCAAACCCTTGCTCACCGTTCCCAGAACCGCCGCATTCGTTTCGACTAATTCCGATCTCCGATCTCTCTCCACCGTTTACCTCCGTCCTCGCTTCCCCAAGAAACTCCGTTAGTTCTCTCTCTATCTGTAATTTTTTTTTGGAATTCGAGAATTGTTAGCTGAATTATCTGCTGATCTGATTGAATGCGTTGTAACATTATCATGTAAGAAATTTTGAAATTGAGTATATTAGGTTATCTTAAATTGGACTTCAAATTCCAATTAGTTTGGTTTGAGACTAGGTTTAAACAATGGATCACAGGAAATAGTTACTAATTCTCACGCCGGTTGTATCTTAAGAGGTTTAATCTAATGATGCTGTGATGGTTTGGCATTTAAATTTTTGAAATCATTGATGTGTTACAGAGATTCGGGCGGCTGGGAGTACCTATGGAAACCACTTTCGTGTTACGACGTATGGAGAATCTCATGGAGGAGGTGTTGGTTGTGTCATTGATGGATGTCCTCCTCGCATTCCTCTCTCGGAAGCTGACATGCAAGAGGATCTTGACAGAAGGTAACTCGCCTTCAGAATTATCTCACTGTTTTAAGATAACTTCTTGCTCTGTATAAGATGCATTTTATTGAAATGGTTTCTAACTGCTAGTAAAGGAATGTGACATTTAAGAATGATAGCTGACAGGCCATGTTTGTTTGTCTTTAAAGAATAATAACAGTGTAAGTTCTTGTTTATAGGAGGCCAGGTCAGAGCCGAATTACAACTCCCAGAAAGGAGACTGATACATGTAAAATATTTTCAGGAGTTTCAGATGGTTAGTATTTCGTCCTACTACTCTTAACTGGGAAGTTACATGTTTCTTGACAAAAGGTCTTAAAATTTAGTTTATTAATTGCAGGAGTTACTACAGGAACTCCAATCCATGTATTTGTGCCCAATACTGATCAAAGAGGAAACGTGAGTGTTGTTTCATGTTCAGAAATATTGAATAAAGATAAGCAACCATGAGTCCATGACCTTGATTTATGGGGTTGTTAAAATTTTGTACTTTCGGCGATTTTTTCAGGACTATAGCGAGATGTCATTAGCTTATAGGCCTTCCCATGCAGATGCAACCTATGACATGAAGTATGGTGTCAGATCAGTTCAGGTATTGACCTTTACAATGTTATAAGAAGCATTTTCATTCGATTAGATATGTATTATGCTCATTGGTCTTAACTCCTATATTTAGGGTGGCGGTAGATCTTCTGCTAGGGAAACCATTGGAAGGGTTGCTTCTGGTGCTGTTGCTAAGAAAATCCTTAAAAAGTTTGCTGGAACTGAGGTGTGTTACTTGTCTCACAAGTTTAGCTATACCCGTGTTATATTTCTTCAAATTTTTAATAGACCAAGAATGATATATTAGGAATGTGTCAGGATTTTTTGACCGTTCAACAGAAACTTGGTATTGGGAAAATCTCCCTTGATTAAAGTACAATACAGAACTTTGAGGGTCTGCAACCTCCCTGTCCAAAGACCCATTTCCTTTCAACTGACCACATGCCACTCCTTCTCGACCTATCTCTTATTTATGGGCAAAATGCCTTAATTGAATTCTTACAGCTATCTCTCAGTCCAACTAAAGTAACTAACTCATATTTCCTATCAACTGACCACATGCCACTCCCTCTCGACCTATCTCTTATTTTTGGGCAAAATGCCTCAACTCTTACAGCTATCTCAGTCCAACTAAACCAACTAACTACTTGACTAACCCTCTATCAAAATGTCCTAACAAACACCTCACCCACATAAACAAAATCATTCACCCTGTCTCCAAGTTGAACAACTTGTAGTTGCTGAAATCATTATTCCACCAAGGTCCCTAATATTGGAAACACAGTGAAAAAGATACATATGAAAAATTAGGATTAATTTTCTCCCTGTGTGCACTATACTGGTTACAGTTATATTGTTTTAGTCCCTTTAATTTTTTTTTGATAAAATGTTCCCTATAATATTTACCTTTTCCACTTAAATCGCTGTTTGCTTTGTTTCAGTCCCTATAATATACTTTTTTGTTTGTTTTAGTCCCTGTAATATTTATTTAATGGTAAATTAATGATTGTATGATATCGTCAGGCCTGTAACTGAGAAAGGAAACTCAAATGAGCAATTAGTCCATCAAGGCAATAGTAGGCCTAAGATTTGGTAGGTATATTCTAAAAAGGGTAAGGTGGGAACTTCTAGTATTAAGTGAGTATTAGTGACGTGGCAGTAAAAGATTGAGACTGGTAATTGTTTCCTGATTATATAGATTGAGTGTGGATTGAGGGGTATTTTGAGATTTGAAAAATTAGTTATAGCTTCCTATAAGAGCCTAGCTCTGTGGCAGATTTGGGGTGTTGTCCCTCTTTGTAATTCCTTCATTATTCATCAATAATACAGTCTGTTAATCATTTCTGTTTTTTGCGTTGTCTCTGTGATTCATTTTCTGGTTTTCGTAACAAACTGGTCCGACCTGCTCTGCTGGAGTCGTGTCTGCTGCAGTCCCTCCCTATACTGGATAGAGTATGGGAAGACATCTCTATGGACTTCATCGCGGGTTTGCCCAAATTCAAACGATACCAATTTGGTTGTTGTGGAGAGATTCTCCAAATATTGTCATTTTGTGAGACTGAAGGATACATACACCACACGAAGTATTTGCAAAGTAAGGTTCACTTACACAAGATTCCCTCATCCATCGTTAGCTAGATCCGATTTTTGAGTAATTTTTGGAGAAAATTATTTAGGCTGCAGGGGACTGACTCGTCTCAAAATGAGCTTCACTTATCACCCGGAACTGGATGGACAAAACGAAGGCAGTGAACAGTTGCTTGAAACCTATTTGAGATGTTCCTTAGCCGATCAGCCGAAGTCTTGGAATTTGTGGGTTCATTGGGTCGGATATTGGTTCAACCCACAATGCATCTACATGGCAGACGCCATCGTCAACAATCCGGTGTCTCGGATCAACGCCAAACTTGCTGCAAGATACTGTGGCTCATATCCATTCTTGGAGCAATTGGGAGCAGTGGCATATAAGCTCAAGTTCCTGGCAGAATCTAAGGTTCAACTGATGTTTCACATGTCGTTACTGAAAAGGGCAGCAGGGGAGTACTAGGGGGAAGAAGAATTGCCAGAAAACATGGCTGGAGATAATCTAGAAATCTGTTAACAGGATATTGTGTTAGCCACCCGAGGGGTGCAGAGCAAGATGAAGGAAGTTCTGCAGGTGCTAGTACATTGGAAGGGAAAAATCGCTGAAGAAGCGACCTGGGAGGATGCAGTCACTATCAAATGTCAGTTTCCGAATTTTAGCCTTGAGGACAAGGCTGTGTGTTTTCAGGAGAGAATATTGGTAGGCCTGTTACCGAGGAAGGAAACTCAAATGAACAATAGGTCCATCAAGGCAATAGTAGGCCTAGGATGCAGAAGGTGTATTCTAGAAAGGGTAAGGTGGGAAATTCGAGTATTGAATGAGTATTACAGTGACATGACAATAAATAGTTGAGACTGTTAACCTTTTCCTGAATATGTGGAGTTGAGTATGGATTGAGGGAGGTATTATGAGGATTGAGAAATTCGTTATGAGTAGGAAGCTTTATACAGGCGCCTAGCTCTGTGGTAGATTTTGGGTGTTGTCCCTATCTGTAATCCCTTCATTATTCATCAACGATACACAGTTTCTTGATCATTTCTGTTTTATTGCATTGTCTGAATGAGTCATTTTCTGGTTTGTAACAGATAGGGACTCAAAAGAAAGTATATTCCAGGGACTCAAACAAAAAAAAGATTATTCTAGGTACTAAACCAAAATAACAAGGACCGCAATGTAAAAAAAAAAAACATATTTAAGCCGCAAAATAATAATGGTCTCCGAGGCCCCGTCCAGCTTTCCTGTTTTTGTTTGCTTTGCTCCCACAACCACTTTTGCCAAGACCTCTGCAATCATCCATCGTACCAAAAACCTGATATTAGTAGTTTTGGCTATGGAAGCTTGCTTACCATGCTTGGTGTCACCTCAAAAAGTTTTTAAGTTATTAGATGGCACTTCGGCCTTTGTCTAAGTACTAGAATGAGCTGCAGGGATCGCTGAATTGGCATCCTCCTATCCATTCTGATCTTGTGTAATACGCATAGCATCAGTGTTTGCATGTACTTGTCTGAGCCCCCGCCGCCGCCGCGGCTCTCTCTTTCAATTTTTTCGTTCACCACTGCACGTTTGATGTGGATATATGGACCTTTAACATGTTTTATTTGCCAATTCCTTCACAAATATCCTTGGCTAATTCTTGGATTTTCAGATTCTTGCCTATGTCTCTCAAGTTCACAAGATTATTCTTCCCGAGGACTTAATTGACAGCGGCACACTGACACTTGATCAGGTATAAATATAATTGTTATTTTTCATATTTATATATGCTAGAATGTACTTTTTGTAAAACTGTTTGCATTAGATTTTGTGCTTTCATGTATTATAAAGACTACTTATAATTCTATTTCTTGGAATGCATTTTCAAATCATGCTTAAAAGTTACAACTGTTGATTTGTCGGAAGAAATTTGACGTTCATGTATGAAGTGACTAAATTGTCCGTATTTAATTAAAACTCAGTAAATAACTTTTATCTTTCACATTTCAAATAAATTCACTGTAGATTATCAAATTGAAAAGAAAAAGTTTCATTTCACATATATTCTATATAACATACGCACATTATAAAAAGATAAAACTGATTTTGCCAAATAGAAAACAGAAAAAGAAAATGTAAACCAAGTTCTATGAACTCGAGCTAGGCTCCTAAACCAGTGAGAAATCTCTCCTAACTGTTTACCAACAAACTTTCTGAATATCTCTCAACTTCCCTTCCCTCTCTCTTTCATAACAGAAATTTCGTAAAATTCAAGGAATATCCTAACTAACTCTTATTGGACCAAGGGCCAGACTTAGGGTCCTATCGTAGTCCACAGACAAAAGCGACTCTCGTGGAGGAAGAATCTAATTGTGATCTTAAACGGAGACTTGGTGTAATTTGTACATGACTGATGAGTATTACCAACAAAATGACTTTTACATTATTAAGTGGACGATGGAATTTTTACCATCCCAATCTGTAAATGTGCATATTAGCATCAACTGGTTTCTCGATTTGATATAACAATTTATACAAAATACAACTGTATAATTAGTGCATAAATAAACATCTCAAAGGGTGACAGTTTGTACAATTTGCTTTTTTACTTATGATGAAAGTATTGATTTAACTGTAAAGGGGGATACCTTTAATATAAAATGGATAAAATTTCATTCTCATATCAAAACGTGTGTAAGTCATATAGCTAGAATATTAAATGAGTTTAATCTGTCATATATTTTCTCGTGTATTTTGACAATAACTGTATTTGCTGATAACTTTGCATAGAATTCTTACGATGCTCTTTTCTGTTCAGGCATTTACTTGCTGCAGTCTTTCCAATTGACTCATTATTGTTATGACTTGTATTAATAATACTTGCTGTTGATATTATGATATTTTGTTCTTGCATCTCTGAAGCCAAATTCCTGGTTTGCCACTATGTTTTGAAATTTGTCCAGATTGAGAGTAACATTGTTAGATGTCCAGACCCTGAATATGCAGAGAAGATGATAGCTGCTATTGATGCTGTCCGAGTGAAAGGTGATTCTGTTGGTGGTGTTGTAACATGCATTGTGAGGAACTGTCCACGCGTAAGTCTTTCCACTTTTCTGTAAAGTTAAAAAAATTCTGCAAAATAATAGGGTTTAGCGTAGAAATTAACTTCTAAAAAAGATAACACACAAGGGTTTTATGGGAATATATTTGGCTTGCTGCATTTCAATGGAAACACAATGGTGACACTGTAATGAATCAGATTGAAAAAACAAAATTTGTAAACAAAAAATTGTAGAAGGCTCTACATATTTTTGAATATATGTATTTATATATATTTCCCTCGGAATATCTTTCAGCTCGGCCTCCTGATTGGAGTATTGCATCATGATTGATCCTGAAATAAATTTCGTAAATATATATGTCATATAGAATCTTTTGATATTTATAAAAAAATCAGTGGAAATTAAATAAACTCAGAATATGGGCTCTTTAGGTATCTGTGATTACGTGACTTTGGAAGGTCACTTTCCAGGTATATGCTGTACCCATCAGTATACTCCTAGAAATATTAAGTTCGCAGCCTATCAATATTAGATTGTTATTTGAGATATGATTCTGTTATTTGATATTTTAATAATAAGAATGAGAGAAAAAGGAAGAAAACAACACTGCTTAGAAACAACCCGTGTTGATTCGCAGCTTCGTATCTCCCTTTGTATACCTACTTGAATGCCTGATATCTTATAGGCACATCCGATCATTACTTAGTTTTGCTTTCAAGGATTATGCTTGTGTTGTTCAGATTTTTCATTTTGTTTTTCACTTAGAATAGAAAATAACTTTATTATTTCTCAGGGTCTTGGTTCACCAGTATTTGACAAACTTGAAGCTGAGCTGGCCAAAGCCGCTATGTCATTGCCTGCAACTAAGGGTTTTCAATTTGGTAGTGGGTTTGCAGGTATTGAAACTTGCTTATGCATATGACAGCGAGTACTTTGTCTTATAAGGGGATGATTGAACAATATAATTTTTTATGATCACTTGTGTCTTGGGTATCTTCTGATGGCTTAGTGAAATTATTGTAGGCACGTTTTTGACTGGAAGTGAACACAATGATGAATTTTATATAGATCAAAATGGAAATGTGAGGACAAGAACAAACCGCTCTGGTGGGATACAGGTATTTATTCTGTAAAATAGCAAATTATTTGTTTTAGATATGATATATGATATTCATGCACTTTTTTTTAATCGTATTGTTTATATTGAAAATTAGGGTGGAATTTCCAATGGAGAAATTATTAACATGAGAGTAGCTTTCAAGCCGACATCAACTATTTCAGTAAGTCCAATATTCTCTCTCACACACACATCATATTTCATAACAAAAACCAGTGCCAGGGGAGTAATTGAGTTGAGCCAATCTCTCAACTTCTAACTTGGCTTGTAAAAATAAAGCTTGATGGATAAGTGAAAAACTCATACACTATTTTATGATACCTATCTTTCCCTTTGCTACATAAATTCTTTAATTTTAAGAATTATAATTGCTCAATGTTAACACCATGTACTTGACTAGCATAGAGTGACTGCAAAATTAAATGCATTTTTAATTATTTTTATCTACTTATATATGATAGATATGCCATTTTATGTTTGCGAAAGAATGATGTCAATAAGTTCTATTTTTGTCTCAACCATTTGGTTCTATGGGGAAACAGACCTTCTTATCTATCTGTAATCATCTTCTATCAATATTAATGAATACATCCTTAAATTAAAAAAAATTGTGCGGTTCTATGGGGAAACAGACCTTCTTATCTATCTGTAATCATCTTCTATCAATATTAATGAATACATCCTTAAATTAAAAAAAATTGTGCCCACTCCTACACCTTTTTCACCCTCAAAGTAAGGAGTGAGCCTAAGAGCAGCCATTAGAATTATTAGAGTAACAATTATTATTATTATGAGCAGTTACAAAACTTAGGTAGAATAAAAAGGGAAACAGAACCATGTTCGTTCTAGGAGGCTGAAAATTTGAAAAAAGTTATATTTGGGAGGGAGAGACCAAGCTCTCGAATTCTTGGAAGGCAGAGAACCGAGACTCTCGAATTTCTTGGAAACTCATTGTAATTACTATTCAATTTTATTGTTTGATAATCAGTTTCTATCAACTGGTATCAGAGAAGTTTCCTTCCAGGACTACTTTATGGTATCGACGCGAGGGGAAATGGAGGCCAGATTGGAAATTCTTGAACGTGGAATTGAAGCACTGTTAGCAATGAAAGAAACAATGGAGAAACAGCGTGAAGAAAACTGTGTGCAGCGAATGGAGGTTAGACGGCAAATGGAAGAATTGGTCGAAACCGTTCGTCACACGAGGCGCCGAAGTCCAGGAGAACACGACACAGCCATTCAGATGAAGAGGATGGGTCTGTGAATCACCGTCCTCCAAGGTTTTGCGAAAAGCGATGGCGAAAACTGGAAATTCCAATTTTTGAAGGAGTTGATGCTTACGGTTGGTTGAATTGTGTTGAGCGTTACTTTGACCTAAAGCAAGTGGAGGAAAGAGAGAGACTGCAGGCAGCGATGGTTGCCGTGGAGGGCAAAGCACTTGCTTGGTTTCAATGGTGGGAGTTTTCTACACCAAACTCGACTTGGGAGGAATTCAGAACAGCCATACTCAAACGATTCCAACCCTCAATGATCCAAAGTCCCTTTGAATTGTTGTTGAGTCTAAAACAAACTGGAACAGTGGAAGAATATAGAGAGCAATTTGAGTTATTTGCAGGCCCCTTGAAATGTGCCGAACCATCTTATTTAAAAGGAATGATTTTGAATGGACTCAACGATGTTATAAGGGCAGAATTGAAACTGCACCCTGTAGAACGGCTGACTGAATTGATGGATTATGCACAAAGGGTGGATGAGAAAAATAGCTTGTTGAATAATGGGAATGGTGAAACAAATTCTGGTGGTGAACCAACCTTCAAAAACGATGACGATAGCGGGGCTGTGACAAGTGATCCTGGAAATAAAAGTAATCCACAAACTGTTTTCAGTGCTGCAAGTTCATCATGTGAGGCAAATCAGTCGCAATCAAATTTTTTCAAAGACCAAGGCTTTAGAAGGTTGACAGATGCAGAATTGCAAGATAAATCACTTAAAGGATTATGTTTCCGATGTAATGAGAAGTTTAGCCCTGGACATGTATGTGCAAACAAACAATGGACATGTATGTGCAAACAAACAATTTCAAGTCTTGCTATTGGAGAAAAATGTGGAAGATGAAAACTATGGTGCGAAACCCAAAGAAGTGGGACGTGAATTCAAGTTCTGGGACCCTGGTGGACACTTGGGTACTCCTTCACCTTGAGGACAAGGTGAATCTTTAGGGGCAGAGTACTGTTAGACTTTAGGAATTACTAGGAATCAAAACAGAATGTGGTTGTTCTAATTCTATCAATTATGTCAGTTACAAGCATATAAGCAGCCTTATTAAATGTTATTTGTAGCAGTTAGAGAGCCTAAGAGCAGCCATTAGAATTATTAGAGTAACAATTATTATTATTAGGAGCAGTTATAAAACTTAGGTAGAATAAAAAGGGAAACAGAACCATGTTCGTTCTAGGAGGCTGAAAATTAGAAAAAAGTTATATTTGAGAGGGAGAGACCAAGCTCTCGAATTCTTGGAAGGGAGAGAACCGAGACTCTCGAATTTCTTTGAAACTCATTGTAATTAGGGATGTCAATGGGGCGGGGCGGGGCCGGGGGGACACTTCCCCATCTTTTTCCCCGCCATCAAATTCATTCCCCGTCCCCGTCCCCGATCTCCGTCACGGGGGAATTTCTATCCCCATCCCCGTTCCCCGCGGATCCCCGTTCCCCGCGGGGATCCCCATAGATCCTACATTTATTCATTAATATTTTATTTTTTTAAAATGTTTATATTTTCTATAAAAATAAAAAGCACAAAGAATTCACATATTTATTATGTTATTAAAAAATACTAGTATTTGACATTTATTATTTTTTATTAAAAATACTAATGGAACACAAAATAATAATATTTTTTTTATAAATTTCTATAAAATGCTATAAAATTCAACAAAATGAACTATAATACTTTTTAAAGTAACAATATGCCTAAACAACTAAAAAAATCCAACAATAAATACATGAATATTTATTTATTTATTTTTATAAATAAACATAAAGGAAATGACTAAAAAACCTAATCTAAAATATATATATTAAATTAACTATATTAAAATAATAGGCGGGGCGGGGTCCCCGCGGGGCGGGGGGTGTATTCCCCGTCCCCGTCCCCGAAATGCTCTCGGGGGAATTTTTCTCTCCATCCCCGCCCCCACGGGGGAAAATTCCCCATCTTTGGGGCCCCGAACGGGGCGTTCCCCGCGGGGATCCCCATTAACAGGTCCAAACTGACATCCCTAATTGTAATTACTATTCAATTTTATTGTTTGATAATCAGTTTCTATCATAAACATCATTCTTCATAGACATGCTCTGTTTTGGGGTAGCAAACTGAGGGAGCCTTTTGTTTGCGTTCTTCTACTACCTCCAATTCCTTGGCATGTTTTGTTGCACATGACAATGACTTTTTACTATTTTATATGATTTGAACATAATGTTATACCTGTGCAGAAGAAGCAATCTACAGTGACTCGGGATAAGAAAGAAACAGATCTCATAGCCCGTGGTCGTCATGATCCTTGTGTTGTCCCAAGAGGTTAGTATCTCAGCCTTTTTTGAAGTGCTGTCTTTCTTATTTTCGTCCCATTATTTAGAGTTTTATGTTGTCTCTTATAACAACCGAGGAAATCTTTAACTGAGTTAACACTGACCTGAAAGGGCAAGATATATATCTTTAAATGATAGCTTTGCATAAGGATATGTAGCAGATCCAATTTACTGGGAAAAGACATGTTTTTTTTTAATAAAAAAAATCCACGAAGACATATATCTAATGCTAGGAAGATTTTCTTGTCCTGTCTTTTCATCACTAGAAAAGAAAATTTCTTAAATTTTAATTTGGACTGGGCTTGCAGCTGTACCCATGGTAGAGGCTATGGTAGCTTTGGTACTTGTGGACCAATTGATGGCCCAATATGCACAAAGTAATCTATTTCCTGTGAACCTTGATTTTCAAGAATCCCTGTCAGTCAAATTAGAGACAGAAGAAGTGCCCTTCTGAAAATGAAGTGGGCGGGCATAAATGAGTAGCGGGCTTCCGATAAAGCCTTCATTCTGGCTAGTGTTTACTCGACAGTAACTTCAATTTGATGAAAAGTTCAAATTTATTTCCTTAAGAGGACCCGGTTCTTGGTCTGCATCTCAAATTCTGGCAATTATGTATGTTTGTGGGTGCTTTGTATTATTATAAAGATTAAACTATGTTTTTTTCTCTTCGCGTTTTTGTCATCATTGTTTCTAGAGTGCCATGCTGCAAAAGCACAGATAGATGTATTTTATAGTGAATTGGTATTTGTTGTAAGAAATTTTGTAGTTTTTGAAAGTCTGATTTCTTATAAATGCTGCTCTGCCTTTCAATAAATCAAGCTTTGGCGAGTTTAACTTGCTTGTGTTACCCTTTACGGTTATATTATTGAAGACAAATTTGTACTTTGTTGTATGAAAATTGAACTCTTTATCTTATTACTTGTTTATGTGTATAAATTAGCATATGTAGACATATAGTGAGTGAAAACTTGGACATGGAGTTAAACTTGGACATGGAGTTTGGATTGTTCACAAAACAACAAAGGGTACTCAAAATCTTTGTTGCATTTCTGTTTAATTATGAGTATTTCTCTACATCTTTATATATTGGAACTCTGAAAACTCTAAAATATTCTTGGGTTTTTTTGGAAATACATTTCCGGACGTACGGAATTCTATTTTTTATTAAAATTTAGTTCGGAGCTCTGAATTTTTTGAGATAAATTCGGAGATGAATCTTCAATTAGTATAACAAAATAGTTCATATTATTAAAGAGTGTTTAGATAGTTGCTTATGTTTAAAATATTATTACTAATCTAAAGAGAAAAATACAAATGCTAAGCAAGTGGATGATAATACAGCATAGGAACTCTCACTAATAACTACTCCTTATTTCCCAAATTAAGTGGCGCATTTTGAAAAAATATTTATTCTAAAATACCTGTAACTTTAGCTGACGAATGTAATTTTAATATTTATCTTTTAACTGTATTATTTAATTAATATACTTAATTTATTGTTTTCTTCCTCTGTATTAATGCTAATTTAAATAAACTAATAATTAATTAGGATAATTTGATAATATTATCTCTGTGTGAAAGTATCAAATATGATATTTAATTTGGACGGAGGGAGTAAAAAATTAGTCCAGATAGGACCTCTAGTTCAGATTCTCGCACCTTATAATTTAAATTCCTCGAAAGTAGACAATATTGACAAAGTTCTTAGTTCTAATACATTTTCTTATAACCATAAGACTCAAAACATGTAATAGTTTTACTATTCTTATAACATGTATGATAAATAGTTATAAACGGAAGCTATAAGGTCAGTGATAATGCATTCAATCTTAGAAAAATTTGAAGATATGTATCCGAATTAAATTTTAATAAAAAAGAGATTTAGTATGTCTGGAGATTCTAAAAACATGAGATATTTTTTATATTTTGTCAGGGTCTTGGAAAAGGTATAAAGATGTACATGGAAATTTTCTTTAATTATTTCTGGACCTCTGAGTTGTCGGGCTAGATGACTAAATTGGTGCATGAGTTGTTTTTACATGATACCTTTTTTTAAAGGATATTTCTTATTTCATCCCATGACCTAAAATAATATCATTTGCAATTTCGAAAATCAGAAATGTATTTTTGGTTCACACCGTATGTTTTACAAAAGCAGGTCAAATGTAGTTTCATCTTTTAAAATGTAAAAAACATAACTGGAGGTATACTTCCAGATTTTATACCGGTATTATGTTTTTGGTTTTTAGAGCGGGAAGATTGATTTTTTCTGCCACCTTGTCATTTTATATATAATCGAAAATATATTTTCGGTATTATAGAAAATGCAGTAGACTTAAAACAGTAACCAACATGGTCAATGTGATCATCTTCGCTTATTCTTTCCATAAAACCTCTCAAAAATTCTTTCATTCGCAATTTATTTTTTCACTCTAAATCTTCATTTTGTGGTTCATCATATCAAAAGAAGCTCAAAGAAGTAGAATTTAAGGTAAAGTTTATTCATTTTAATCCTCATTCTTTACATTAATCTGTTTTTTAGTGTGGAAAACAGGTTACGTGAAACTGGATGTATACTTCCGATTGTTAGTTGAACATAATCGGAATTGTATTTTCGGTTTTTGTCTGTGTTTATTTGACAGCAACTTCTGTCTGTGTTTATGTGTGTTAATACGTTTAATGTTTTTTATAACACTAGGTATGGTGCATTCCGATAACATTCCCAAACCTAATGTGTCTCAAGTTGTTTCACCTCTCGTATTTCCTATCGTAACTAAGGTGGTAGATATTCGTGCGCATTTTGAAAATGGAGAAGAATTTGAATTACGTGAAGACATGTTGCAGTGGATTCGTATAGAGGCTATGAAACTAGGATCTGGTGTTGTGATTGGAAGATCCAATAATGGTACGGATATAAGAAATTCATTTGTGACTTTGACATGCGAAAGAAGTGGGAAATACATTCGTCGTATCCAAAAATTAAAACGCGATGACACCAGTTCAAGAAAATGTGAATGTCCATTTAGGTTGCGTGGTTATCTTTTGGTAAATAACAAATGGAGATTTAATATGATATGTGATTTACACAACCATGATTTAAGTCAAAAGTTAATCGATCATCCAATTGCATGTAGGCTCCTTCCAAATGATAATACATGTGTTTCTGACATGACAATGAATCTGGTACCTTCCAAAAACATATTTGCAACCTTGAAGGTGCAAAAGACCCAGAAATACATCAAATATCAAGCAAGTTTACAATAAGCGATATCAAACCAAATTAGCGATTAGGGGGGATCGAACCGAGATGCAACACCTCTTGAAACTTCTAGATAAAAACAATTATGTTTGTAGGCACCGACAAGGTGATGATGGAGTAACAGTAAGATATATTTATTGGATTCATCTTGACTCCATTAAATTGTTCAATACATTTCCCACCGTGATCATAATGGATTCAACATTTAAGACCAACAAGTACAGACTTCCCTTGTTGGAAATTATTGGTGTTACATCGACTGAAAAGACGTTTTCTGTTGGTTTTGCATTTCTAGAGTGCGAAAAGAGGACAACTTTGCATGGGCTTTAGAGGTTTGTAGGTCAATGTTGAAGGATCAAGAAGATGTATCGAAAGTCATTGTTACCGACCGAAATACAATATTAATGAATTCGGTTAGAACTGTATTTTCTACTTCTTACGCCTTACTTTGTAGGTACCATATTACTAAAAATATGCGAAGTCGGGTTAAACCCGCAGTGGGGACAAAACATATTGCAGGTGAAGATGGAAAACTGGTCAAGGCGGGTGTTATTGTGGAGAAAATTATAGATGCATAGAATGATATAATAAATGCATCTATAAAAGAGCTATACATTGATGTTATTTTACAGTTCAGGAAGATTTGCGAGAAATATCTCGATCTATTGAAATATGTTGAAAGCACAATACTTGATCAGGTCAAGGAGAAGATTGTTTGTTCCTAGACCGATCATGTTATGCATCTCGAAAATACAACAACAACCCGAGTTGAGTTTGCTCATGCTTGTTTGAATAATTGGCTGGGAAATAACAAGGGTGATTTGATTACGGGTTAGGATTCTGTGAACCAGATGATACTAAACCAGTATAACGAGATACATACAACATTTGGTCGTAGTATCAAAATGTTGAAACACAGGTTTAAAGATAATACCCTATATTCTCAGTTGGTCGGTAATTTGTCTCGGGCAACTCTGAATTATATTTTTCACGAAGCTAAATAAACTTCTAATGTCGGTTCTGATAGCTTAAAGTATGGTTGAACAATTGTAAAAACATATGGTTTCCATTGTGCTTGTATCATATCTAAGAATATGAAAGTTGATTGTCCGATACATATGGATGAGGTCTTTAGTCATTGGAAGAGACTCAATTTTGAAGATAACGGTAAAATGAAAAGTGATAAATCAAGTATTTCCATCTTGACTGAATGAGAAGAGATACAAGAAATATTTTTGAAAGCCGGTGACGCCACCAAACTCCACATCAAAGAGAAGTTAAGGAAGATTGCATTCTCGAAGACCACAAACTTGAAACCACTATCTCAACCGGTAAAAACTAAAGGGGCACCTAAGAAGGTGAAACTGACACTGGGTGATAACTCAACTACGAGGAGTCCTTCATATTTTGAACATGTTGACAAAAAATTTCCCGATTCACCTACTCTGAAATCTCAGAAAAGTTCTTTCAAAGGGGCCCATATTAGCAAACCACCTCCTACACCGACTCCACCCAAAATACCATTCATAGATCACATGCTGGTTTTTATGCACAAGTACATTGAACGGATCGTAAATGTCGGGGGGGGGGGGGGGATAATTGTGGTTTTTGTGTTGTTTCTGGTTTGCTCGGTAAAGGGGAAGAGGCTCAACAACTTGTTCGCGATGCTCTTATCAGAGAGTTGAGAGGCAATAGAGATTTATACACATGTGTGTTTGAGAGTAATGAGAAAATTTAAGATATCTATAATGCTCTTGTACTTTGCGTGCGTAGATTTGCAACGAAGGATAAGTGGATGTGCTTCCCTGAGATGGGTCATCTAATAACAATTGCGTATGAGAGGGTGTGTATTAATCTTACAAGATACGGTTTCTCGGAGACTTATTTCCTCTATGCACTGCTCCAACACCAAATCCCAATGATCGTATCATATGTGTTTGGTGGGTTTCAAATATGCGACATTTTGTTCAAGTGTATTTGAAACTGGGATGCCCTATACCACCTACATCATCGGAGTGGGTGATTCATTTCACAATCCCATCCAAGACCTGGCCGGACCAATTCCTTGAAAGGATGCAAGAATACAACAAATTAAACAAAATTGAAATAGAAAAAAATAGAGAAAAGTTAAAAGGGGTGCCACTGGTGGATTTGGTCGGCGAAATTTTTTCCGGCTCATTTAAGTAGTTAGGTAT